GTCTATTTAGGTATGAATGTTTTAAAAGGGGTCTGTACAAGTGTGCGTAGATAGATCGTAATCTATGTGAGTTCTTATAACATGATCTTGTGTAAGATTGTTGTAATATCAGCAGAAGCAGTAAATGAATGAATAACTTATGCGATAATCAATCACAAATTATCCAATTCTTCTGTTCTCATGGACTAATTTTATAAGTGTGCGTGTGCGCTTATATCTGTGTGCATATGTGTATCGTTTTGAAATGGTTTTTAGGAACGAACAACTAAGAATCACTGAAAGTGCTCATATTGAAGCGCACATGCAATGTGATTAACAACCGAAGCAGTAACCGATGCAATACGATCACCATAACGCGTAAATAACTCACTTCTTCCATGTGTAAATTCGCTCAACAAACCAAGTGCAGGGAAGAAATGTGATGTAGTATTGTACGCATGCTTTTCCAACGAATCTCTTGTTGCAGTTCATTGTCAAATGCTCCAAATGATCAAGAACTGCATATTTACGAATGATCTCTCATAACTGTTTAAAATCAATTTGTCTTCATCCATTTCATAGTTTATGTTTACTCCACTTACCAGTGATAGTAGCCGAACGGAAAATCGATGTCGTCGCAATCCGACGAAATCCACTTTTATACTTCGAAAATTTCATAGTTACCAAAAAAAATCAAAGTTTGATAGAATAGAAATTCTGTTGCTGAATTCTTGTTTTTACATTTCACGCAATCACCATTTACGTAGTCATTTATGCACTTAGTTGGTCTGTATTTACGCATTTATTCAGTATCTACGCATTTATTCAGTATTTACGCATCTATTCGAATTCCGTTGCTAAATTCTCGTTTTTACACATTTATGCAATCACCATTTACGTAATCATCTACGCATTCAGTTGATTAGTACTTAAGCAGTTATGAAGAATAAATTCACTTACTTACCACTGTAAGATTTGCTTTTACTTTCGTTTGTTTCTCAGAGAATTCGTTGACTAACTTCCACACTCGTCATCATTACCATCCCATTTTCCTTCATTCACTTATGATCAATCATATATTGCATTGCTTTGCAATTGAAAAATTCTTTCTTTAATGGCACAGTAACACAATGTGACGATAAGTTTAAACAACTTATCAGCTGAACTGATAAGCTATACGGGAGAATCATTTATGATGAGCGCGTTTTCTTGTTTGGTGCTTCGGTGAGCAACTGACATGTGACCCATGCCTCCAAGTGGCTGACTCCTTTTTACAAGAAAAAATGATTATTCAAAAATGAGTCGTAGTGACGTGAGATGATGCCTTAAACAATAGAGTAAACGACGAAAATTATTGGCATTAATGATAAGGTGTCGAGTAGAATCATTTGTTCATGAACAGTTGAATAAATGCTCGATCGTTTTTCATCAAACATTCTTGTTCTTTCCTTCCTATGCTGATCGATTCGCTTCAGCAATTACACAGTTATCATGCATATGTATGAATAAGATACAGTTGAGTGATGGCATTCGTTTCCTTCAGTCGCACTTTGCGATTAACAATGACGTTGTCTGAAGACTGATAATGATAAAGAAAGGTAGAAATGAGAGAAGAGGCGAACAATTCTAGCTGTAACCAAAGTGCGGCGTCTTTTGGTCGTTAAGAGATGGGCGGCAAGCAGAGCGGGACGACAAACAACGTAACGACGAAACAGAGACATGAAATAGCGATTAAAATTATCGTTATTACATAAAATTTAGCAATCATCACTTGATTTCACATTAAACAAATACCAACAACCTTTGTTTGGTTTGCTCTGTTCCAGCAACAACTTTGCTGATAGCAGTATTTGACTGTATGAGCAATTTCTAAAACGAAATCAATTCGAAAGAAATAAATAAACAAATAAATAGATGGATGAATAATTCGTGTCCGTTCCTCCACTCCTCCAGCTCAGAGACGGCGATGTCTCGGTATCGGTCCATTGAAAATATCATTCATCTTTCTTTTCTCAGTGAGACTTCATCACTTCGAACATTCGAATAAGAACATTTTCAATGTTGTAGTTGACCACAACTGATCACTTAAGCAATCACTAGTAGAACGTATCACGAGAAGTTGTTCGTCACAAGGCAAATCCGTAGAAATCATCAGCTTCACAGTGATAAAACACCAATAATTTTGTAATCAAATTTTTGCAGCCCAAGAAATTCGACGTATTATCATGGGTGATTAGCAAATGAAAACTTCGTAACCTGAGGACCACCCACGTCTTTGAAGTATATTTTGCCTAGGATGCCTTATGAAAGCGTATGTTCAAGTGAAAATCGCAGACGATTTTCGGCTGAGATCCTGTCTCAAAATCAGTTAAGAACTAGACCTATCTTCAGTTCATTTCAAATACCTCAATGTTTGATATCAAGTTTGAATTTCAGTCATTTCGTCAATCGTTCTCTAAAACTATCTCACACTAAAATTCATCAGGGATCGATATTTTCGTTGTGAACTTTCACCATGTTCGTGTGATTCACAGTTTTTGTTGGTAAAAACTGGCACTTAAAATGTAAGTAGATGTCAATTTTTGTACGAAACTGATGCAATTGTAAGTGATTGCATTCATCGAAACAACACCGATCCGAGCCGTGCTGTTGAATTCTCAGTTACGACGACAGTTCGAATGCTTGCAACCAGTTTCGTTGATTCAATTCGGTGCGGAAGGGTTGCAGTTTAGCATTAGTACAAAATCGATAATGTTTTATTGAGTTACTATTCGAATGTCATTCGCATACAAGTTGCCAGAATAATCTCACAATTGATGCGATTTTCAAATGACTATTCATTTGCATGAATTGAGTCTCAGTTGAGTAACTGTTTCATTCATGAGAACTGGTTATTCGAAATAGACTGAGTTCACTTGCTACAATAGATATTATAACTTTGTAGACATATCTAACGTTCTGTTGGCTCTCAAGTAAACACTGCAGTTATGCTTTGGACAGTAAGATCAACGAACAGAGACGATTTGATAGTTGTGAAAAATTACGTTGAATCAGGCGAAGATTTTGTGGGGAGAAGACATCTGTCGTCTGTCTGTTGTTTATCGTTTATGAGTAAGCCAGCGAGCGATATATTGTACTGTAAGAAATGCGAACGGATATCGCGATTGCTGCATCGAACGACATAAATGGGAATTGATGAGCTTCAGTTTTTTCAAAATAATTTTTGATTTTTTTTTGAATTCAAATGGTAGTATGAAATTGCTGGGTTGGGTGGAGAGTCGCTAGGTCGGGTCTAGGCAGGAATACTGTCAAGCTGGACTAAGATTTGCTGGGCCCGACATTTGCACAGTGCCCGCTTGTTTGTATTTCTACTTTGACCCGGCAATTCTTGATCGTCGCCGCAAAACTTGGCCCAGCCTGGCGAATGTTGATCCCATTCGGCGATTGTTCGCCTGAGCCAGCCAGGAATTATTGACTCGATCTGACAACGCTTGATTCGACCTGTCCCGGCAAGTCTTGACTAGGCCCAGTAAATCATGACTCGGCCACATGCTCAGAGCACGACAATTTCGCACTTCCAATTCAAACCGGTGGGTGAAAGTCATACTTTTGATATTTTTCAATTTCTTATATCGTTTTTCATGAATTCATGCTTCTTCTGATTCTGACGGCAGCATTTATTCGTTTGAAAAGATGCTTTACGTTTCTTGTAGAGAGCTGATGGTCGCGATAATTTATTTGGTGATGTTTGAGTACGACAATGTTGTCAGTTGTAATTGATTGTTCGCATAATGGAAGTGATTGTTCATAATACGATGATGATATAATTAAGTGCAATGATAAGAACATCAACAGTACTGATAGGAGTAGCATTATAAGCTACTTATTGTGTATTTGTGCAGTGGTTATTTTTGTGATAATTACAGAGCGTTGTATGCTTCTTCTCATCATTATTCACGTTAACATTCATCTATCCATCCATCCATCCATACATCGATCTGCACACTCGCATTCTCAATTATCGAGCTTACTCTCTAATGCGAATGGAACAACCGGCTATTCACTTCTCAGTTGTTTTTGTGGTACGAAACGAAAAATGGAACGTTGCTAAATTGTTGCTGCTTTCTTTTTGTCCATGGAATTATGTACGTTATTGTGTTTCTGGTTTCATTCAGTTGAAAACCCCCATTAAAGCATCTGTCATCCATTCCAGATAATAGACATAAACGGATGGCTTTTGTCAGATTCGTTATGTGAGCCGGTTTGTTACCTAGGCAACCATGGTTTTCGGCGTTGAGTAGAGTCTTTACAGTTGGATTATTGTGTTGCGCATCTTGTGTGCTGACTGCCTGACTGCTCCGTGAATTGAAGTGAAACGTATACGTGTTTTGCGACATCGATCGCCGTCAGCAGAAATGCTCAGCCAAGTTAATAAATGACATTAGCTAAAGCAATATAGCCATAACAGTATTGGTTGTTCTAGGTAGCAGTAGTAATATTATCACAAGTATGGCTGTAGGTTTATTGTTGCGATTTCTCGTTAACTTTTTCCCGTTATTTCTTCAATCACATTCATTATTTCGTCGTCATTTTGTTTCAGTCAGCAAATATTTGTTGCATTCACATGGTGTTTGAAAGTTTTTAATTAAAGCAAAGCATAATTGATTCTTGTTGAATCGTTTCATAAAACATCTCGCATTCTACGTTCTTTATTATTCCTATTCGCGCTGTCGACTATTCTCAAAATAATAATGATTGCATTCTTTCTATGATTGCTATTTTGTTGGTGTTATTGATTTTCTAGGTGGTTAACGATGGCAAGGGTAGAGTATTGGCCTCGATATGGTCTTGAGAATTACACATTCGTTTTTCCATTCGAAAAAAGTTTTGATTCTGTACAATCCACCAAATGGATGCAGCACAATTGGCTTCATTCAGTATCATCATCGGTTTTGTACGTTATTGCCATATATGCTGGACAAAAGGTTTTTATTCTAACTTCAATTATTATTTGTAATACTGCTGTTCTTCTTCATCGCGATGCTCTTTCACCCTGTTTTTGTTTTGTTTTGTTATTGCTTGTGCATTCTTTCAATCCAATTCTGTTGCCATCATCGTTTGTTCTGTTTGATTTCAGTCCGTTTCATTATTTTTCTGCAATCAAAAAAATGAACTCAGCAGCGTTATCCTGCAATTAATGTGTTTTTGAAAGGAGACCAAACTGAACACCATCCTCAAGCTGAGCCTTATCCCTGCCTTCCGCTAAGGTTCACCACGGAGCTTGGAGTGAGACCTGCCCGAGGCTGAGATCCATCCTAATTCACGTTGAGGCCTGAGTCGAGGGAGTGGAACTCATCCAGATTTCATGTTGCACCATTCATAAACATGGTCACTAAAAGATTCCCTTAAGCCAAATACTCGCAAACGAGATAATCGAAGGGTACTCTCCGAACAATTATCCTTCAATTGACACATTTGATAGGTGGCGGTGAGCACATTAATGCATTGTATGTAAGGTTTATATAATTTTGGTTTTATGATAGGGATTCTAACAGTATTTTGATTTATGTCTTTCATTATTGATGACGACAATTGAAAATCACTGCAAAAATTTGTGAGGTCAGAATATTTTTTGGTTTTTTTCGGTTTGTTTTATGGTTATTCTCATTCGTGAAGAATTATTGTGAAAATACCATTGAAAGCAAAGGACTGCCAAGAATTTGGTGTTGTATGTTATCCCTTTTCGTGATTGTTATTTTTGTTTTGCTTGTTATTGTGTTCATCGTTGATAACACTGTTACTGTTATCACTGTGATTATTTTGATTTATACCATTACGGAATTTCCTTTAGACAGCTTAGAAAACAGCAGTGAACAAATCTAAGGCAAGGTAGTGAATGAATATTTTCAGTATTTTACTGCTGACATGTTCGATTGTCATATATGATCAGTTGCAATATTTCAGATTATGCAGTCGCGTAAACCATACTCATTGCGCATACCATTAATTTTATGGAATTTTTGTTTGGCGGTCTTTTCGGTTGTCGGTGTTTTACGAATGAGTCCAGAAATGTGGTGGAGTGTGACTGCAAATTCACTTGAATATTCTATTTGTACGGCATCATTCGCGCAAGGCGTTACTGGCTTTTGGACGGAGATGTTTGCAATGTCGAAGGTGCGTTTCCTTTTTGATTGATCTAGTGAACTGATAAGTAGAAAAGATGTATTTTCTCATTGTTTAAACGTTAATCGACATTCAACAATTAACTGAAACTGTAAACGTCAGCATGATCCATCATAAGTTCAGATAATGGAATTTGGTGATACGGCATTTCTTGTGTTACGAAAGCGACCATTGTTATTCCTGCATTGGTATCATCACGTTACAGTTTTAGTCTACACTTGGCATGCATATAAAGTATGTTCAGTGATTTATTTCTTCATTTATGATGATGATTTGAATTCATTTTTGTTTTATTTTAATTTGTTCATTTTTTGATTTGAGTTGATGGTGTTGAGAGAGATCGGTGGTATGACAGTGGAACAAGTACATAATGCAAATTGTTTTGTCTTAAGTTTTCTTGTTTTATTTCGGTACTTGAATATGTTCAATCTCAGAGCCTCACCGTTACGTTTCATTCGTCATCTACAGGTCGTATTTTCGCGATACATAAGTCTAGTGAATGATAGTAATGTTGATGTTATCAGCGAAAATTAAAGGATCATACAGCATCGGGACGTTGGTTTATTTGGATGAATTATACGGTGCATGCCTTCATGTATACCTATTATGCGTTGCGTGCATTACATATACGTCTACCGAAAGTAGCCGCAATGATGTTAACCGTCCTACAAATTCTTCAGATGGTCGGCGGTGTTACAATAGGTGAGCTTCACTTTCAACTAGTTAATTTTTACACTCTGTTGTATTCTTTGCAATAATCCCAGCCATGCATATAAATATGTTACGAGTTCAAGTCTTGATCTGTAAGTTACAAGAACACTTCTACTGCCACCATTTTGGATTTTTATTTAAATATTCCTTTATTTTATTTGTGTGAGTATTATTGTTGTTGTTTTCATTGTAGGAATTTCAATTCTTAACATCAAATTAGCCGGTCGTGAATGTCAACAAACTTGGGAGAATCTTTATTTCTCATTCACAATATATCTGTCATATTTTCTACTCTTCTGCAACTTTTTCTATCATGCATATATTAAAAAGGTTCGTTGAGTTGTTTTCAGCGTTTGTTCTTCAAATTTTGAATGTTCGCTTCTTTTTTCTGTTATTTTTGTTCAATTGGAAAAAAAATTAATGAAACGGTAAAGGAAAAAGTGACACGTTACTTCATGATTATTGTTTATCTGACGAGGAATAACAAAAATTCATCCACTAGACAGCCAATTCCATTGCTTCTCTCATCCACATCCGTTTATATGCTATACCAACCTTTTTTTCACAATTCATCGTGCAATTGATTCGACGCAATCATTAGGTTGATTGAATGGTTGTGCAACTGATTAAAATGATTGTACTTTTTGCTGCTTTATTGGTTGACAGTCGAACATTTTGATTGACTCTTTTCTAAATAGGCGATGAGTAAATACATTGTTGTTGATATGTAGGTAAACAGAATGTGTGCAACTATTATTTCAAATTGTGTGTGTGCGTGCATGAATAGTAATGAACATAGTGATATTCATATTAATAATGTAAACAGTTGGATTGCAGAACAACCGATATGAATCATTGCAAAAGGAAGATGTATTGAAGACAACGAATCACTTGAACATTCAAGGAGAGCAACAGCAGCATCTGAATGGAATGACGACTACAACAGTGAAGTATGATGATGAAGCTGCGACAAAAGGTGGTCTTAAGAGAAGAGCGGTACGGGCCGATTGAGGACTCTGATGATTCGGTTCTAGTTGAGAAGCAACGGCTACTGATCAGTGTTCTGCAGCTATCATCATTTTAACTGTAAATCTAACTGGAAATGAAATGATAGTAATGACCGGTGAATTGAAATTTTTCTTTCGGGAAACAGATTAGAGGTTTTACTTTGAAATTCAGTGTTGCAAATTTGCAAGTATCATGGCGCGTTTTAATGTTTGCGGAATGAACTATAGAATTTTGATGGGAATGTAGTGCTGCCGCTAGCTACAGAGTAAGTCCGTGACTATCAACGCCGAATGTATACGTTATGCAGATCGTATGTAACCGTCGTCAGTTCAATGCTCTACCACAGTGATGTTCATTCGAGTGTTTTATTGAATTATATTGTATGTTCTCTCAGTTTGCAGCAAAACCGACTTAATCATTAAATATTATCGCAACGAAGCCATCCCATCTCAGAAATAAATGATTTTGTTAATGTATTTCTTGCATTCATTCATCACTCCGCGGCATATTGCCTGTTGCATTTATTGTTTCGTAAAATGATAGTGATAATAATGATGATGATCATAATAATAGTAGTGATAATAAAAATATAATCCAGGTAAACAGCAGTTGGTGATTATATTTTCCGTCTCGTAGTTGTTTCTTGATATCTTTGCGACACCAGTTTTTCAGCAAGAAAGATAGCATCTGTCATTTTTAGTTTTGTTTTCTTTCATTCTCACATTGTTTTTGTTATGAGGGAAATCAAAAAAGAAACTGGTACCTATCTAGTTATCTAAAAAGAAGTTGAAAATTTTTCTCAATAAAGTTCAGTTTAAAACACTAACTAAATCAGCTGCTAACACTAATGTGAATATTGCTAATGATAGTAATAATATTGTTATAATCATCACTTTTACTCTTACTACTATTGCTTTTATCTTTAATATTATCATTATTAGTTTCCTTATTACTTCAGCTTGTTGTGTTTCATCGTATTTTTACGGATGGGATGCAATGGCCTTGCATGCTTATATTTTTTTGTTTCGTTTCCTTATTTTCTAATTCGTTCTAGTTATTCTGTTCGTCGTTTTGTTTCTCGTTGTTGTCATTATTAGTATTGCTAATGTCATTATTATTATTGTTATTATTATTATGTCTATTCAAAATTTCTATCCAACTAGTTTGTTCTTCATCGTTATTTTGTCGAAAAAATTTTGTCGACTCATTTTTCAGAAATTAATTGTTGTGATGTGCGTTTGTGCAGTTCATTTATACATTGTTCATGTTTGCTGAAAATTCAAATGAAAACGATACTTAATTTGAATTTAAGATGCGTTTATTGAGTGATTCTATCGCTAGAACTGTGAATGTAAGACTGTTATCAGTTATCGTATTTGAATGAATGTAATTCTTTTTCTTGTATGTAGGTATCAATTTTTTAGTCGTTCCATTATATTTATTTTTTTGTTTGTGTAAATCATTGGAATGATGTTATTTATTAATTTTTTAAATGTTTCTTTATTTATTCACTCATTCATTCAATGACAGTTCATTCGATCATTTGTTCCTCGCTCGATTTTGAAATATACAGTAATATGTGGCTGCTGTTGTGTGGCATGTCGATTTTTGTTGACGCCAAACTTTTTATGAGTTGACATATGTTGTTATTAACCATTTTTTTATTCAGTGAATTTTACCAAACTTTGACATATCGAATTTTAGCACATACAGCAAACAGCAAACCGATGCAGCATTGGCCCATTACATCGAATCTACTTACGTACTGTTTATCTTAATGTCACACATCCGCTATCTGTGTTGGCTTTATGTGTTATTCGCGATTATTTATTAATTAATGCGCTGTTCGTGACATATAGCTAAATTTCTAAAAGTTTTTCATACAGCTGGATCACTTACTTCATCAAGACGCCTGGAGTAACTCTATGCTATAGATTTCTATGTCGGTAACTATAACAATTGTAGAGGAATACTCAAAGTACTACATTCGATATACTGATATTTTCCAGCAGCGTAATGGTTCTTCAATAACATCAGGCTAAGTGAATTATCTAGTGTCGGATTTGTGTGTATGTGTTATGTAGATAGCCACTTTTCGAAAGGTATCTCATGCAGCGGTTATGTCTGTTAGTTATCAGCATGCACCAATTAGTGTTTAACTGTAGAATTCAATGGATGAATTCTACGATTCTCTACAAATGATTTCATGGAAATTTTGTAAGCTGTTATAGCCAGGGTTTACGGAATCACGATCATTTTCTTAATCCTGGGGTCGGAATTCAATCCTGGGATTGAGCAACTTATGGGATACGAAAACGTGACATGTTCAAAATATTCTTTTTGAACCAATATGTTCATAATTAATGCGAAAAAATTGAGGTATTCAAAAAAAACTTAACAAACTCAGCAAAACATCACCAACAATACAAGACAAGTACAATTCATGTACAGATAAAATTTGCGATCAGACAGATTTTCTGTGATCAAATAAAATTTATGTATTAAAAAGTATCAAAACAGCTGTTCAACAATTTCTAAATGTTTAAATAATCTTCATATAACTTTTGATTTTCCAGCACTAATTGAGTTATTCTATTATGAAAATGGCTTTCTTTCACTCGAAATGACGTGCCTTTTCGATCAAATAACTCTATTCCGAATTCGGCATCTATTTCACTTTCTTCGTCGTCATCAAAATCATCACTTATTAAAATTCTTTTTTGATTACCATATAAAGCATCGTAAATTACCAAATCTTTTCATTACCACGTGGGTGGCAAACAACAGATATGACTGCATATGAATGAGCTGGGAATGATCAATACTTGATTCAAAATGCGTATGCTACCAAATTTGTGAAAAATGACTTGTTTTATCAAATCCCGGAATTTTTCAAAACATGAATCCCGATACCGAGATCCAGAAGTCGGGATTGCGGGATCCCGTGCAATTCCTAGCCATAGCTTGCCTGAATCAGCGTTATCGGAAGGTTTCTGTGAATCCATGTTGCTAACTGATGATGAAGGCAAGCCTCTTCAAGAATTTTTGAAAGGGGTAAGCGTCATGAATGTTATTCAGCGGACTGCAAAGTCATAGGATGGTATGAACAGAATTTTACGCAACGAATGGAAAAAGATTTCGCTGACGAGTGAAATCGAAAAACAAGAAAACTGTGTCGCTGAAACTGACTTTAAGTTCGTGAATATGAAGACACAGGATTCCGTAAATGAGAATATTGTGAAAGAGTGGATTGTTTCAGATGCCCAAATTGTTGGTCATGAGTGTCTGGATGAGCAAGTAATAATGAATGCAACGATAATGCTGAGCCAGAAAATGATGAATCAGGTGTAGGTAACGAATGATATCACATTGATACCATAGCTTTTGAAACATGTATTGCATAGCATCGACAACAGAATGAATTTCCCACAAGAGGACTGCAGAGTTTACCGTCTGTAAAAGAACTTGCTGCAGACAAGCACGTGACAACGATGAAACAACTGAGGATTGCTCCTTAAAAGTTATTTTCCGTTTGGGTAGTTGGATGGGCAAAAAGGGCTGGTAGATTGCAAATGAAGTGAGTCGTCATCACGCAGTCTGGACATCGTGCTACGCACAGCTGAGTTTCATAAAAACTATCTGTCCAGCTATTTGTGGTATTCGAACGTCTTTGTTATCTGTCGCAGAGGATTGGGATATGAGAGGATGTGCATTATCATATTACTACTACTATTATTACTACTCAACATCAGCCTACTACTTATTGCTGTTCACTTATTACTATAGTATTTATCAAAATTTATTGTTTTTTTTTGCAAAATCACATTCATTACAAAAAAGCACTTCAGTATAGAGATGACATGTACGGAACTTACTGATGTAATACAATCCCTCAGTTATGTGAGATAACATTGGAAATTTAGCTCATTTTAGGTAAGAAGCAAAATCTTTGGATAATATTTATGCTATTCTGACAGCAGAAAATCAAGCGAATATGATGGTGTATCATAGCTGTCGATTACATAGACTAGTGCTTCTCACGCTCGAGATCTCCATTATCCCTTTGATGGTCTGACAAGCCATCAATACACCCCCCCCTCCCCTCCTCACCCCACTACACGAACTCACTATTTTCATGAACACAATCTTCGAAGACGGCTGATAACAACGACGTGCCTAGGTATCTAATTCACAAATATAAAAGCAGTTATTTTCAGTCTAGAACCTACGGTCACAGCGTTTGTCAAGTACCAGATACCTATGACTCAGCTAAGCATTCGCTTCCCGCAAAAAAAAAATAAATTTACAAACCAAAAATTCCATTATATGAAGTAATTTAAAAGCTTATCTAAACTTTTCAATGCAACCGAATAATAATAATGAATGAATTCAACTCGTCTCGCACCAAACCAATCATCTTTTCTGCCGCACCAATTCCTACTGCTTATAGAGACGATGTCAGCCAAAATGTTAAAGAACTTACGAAATACTTGTGACAACTTCAAAATGACTTTTGTTCAGGCCTAGATGAACTGAATGTATCTAGAAAATAGGATAGAGAAAAGTGTTGCCATGAGCGAACCGCGTTTAGATACCCATTTGAAAAAATACGATCATAATGACGCTCCATCATAACATAACACTGCTGCTTGAAATATTAATTTGCTAACCCCCTCAAGTACTCCCTTTCATCTCCGGATTATCCCCGGGAGCAATTTGCGTTCCACTGAGAACCGCTCATATAGACTTAGGTAATGTAATGGAGTCGCACATTTAATTTCTTTCCAACGTTCATTCATCCGTCAATAATATTGCGGTTTCTGATCATCTTTGTAGTTTCGATCTACTTTGAGTCGATTAAAGACAGCAAGAAAATTACAGACGGTCGTAAAGAAAGAAATGAATTTTATTGATTCAGTCAGGTGAATTCCTTCCTTTACAGGATTAATCAGCTACTTGTTACTATCTCATATTTGTTTATTCATTTTTCATTGATTTTATTGCTTATCTGTTCACTCATTCAATTATTCATACATTTCTCTTAGTTTTTCACATAAAACATTCCCTACAAATTTCATTTATCTTTTCTCATCTTCATAAAGCCTAAACTTGTTGTTGTCATTGACTACTGCGATCTGTGATGTCAACGGAGTGGAATGTGTTTGCTTAGTTTGAAGAGTTTAAATAATAATAATATTTATTATTTTATTTCAAGTATTGTTAATGCTACTGCATACAGTTGCTCACTTACATATGCATGTATTCGTGTAAATTTGTCTGTAGATATGTCAAAGTTTTGATTAAGCATTGAACAAATATTTATTCTCAACAGTTGTCACATGAAGTCGTTGGGCAACAAAAATGGTCGATTTTGTTTGTATGTGAATAAAAATTCATTCACATAATCATAATGCGTTTGTCAAAAAGATTATTTGTCAAAAAGATTATTTGTTAACGAGTTGTTTGAATTGAAAATGAAAGTGAAAGCAGCTGTTGGAAAAGCGTGGGTGGCTTGAAAGAATAGGATGCAACCACATGAGCATTTCAATTTGTCGATTATCGAATGTGCATATTTAGTCATGAAGCTGATTGAAAGCTATAAAATTCATCATTCATTTTTATCAAACATTTAGTCATTTATGACTTTGCACTAGTCAGTTCAGTAGCTGTTCTTAACAGAATGCTCTTATCAGCAGTGTCAAAGCGGAGCCTTATCAGTGATGTCACTTTATGTATGTAATCAAATCATTTATTATTTTCACTCTATAATATTATTTCACTGTCTCTAGTTAAATGTGTATAATACGTTCGATAATGTTCAGTCGAGTTCATCACCAGTATAGCACTGCTAAATCTACCTGTTATTCTCATCGTTGACGTTCGTTATGTAATGGAGAAAGTTGTTTATCGAGTACATATTCATTACGGTTTAATTGTAAATCTATATTCCCTCTGTGATCATAAAACGGGAAATTTTTGTAAGGGCAACGCAATAGAAATAATGTTGTATTTAGGGACCTGATAAGATTCATCTGTTTACTCGTATAAATACCTAAGTATGTTATTATCATTATTATCGTTACGATTATCACCTTGAGATTCAGTGTGATGGAGTGAAATGATAAGAGACGATAGAAAATTCGATAGTTATTGCTTTGTTTTGGTTTTTTGTTGAATATATTGTTATATGAAAATTTGATTGAAAAGATAATTGATCATATGCCCGATGTGTAGATTATTCATTGATAGTGACAGTAATAATCATATCAATACTAATAATAATAACAATAATAGTAAAAGTAGTGATAAGAATAGTAAAATAATAATAATAATAATAATAATAATAATAATAAATAATAATAATTTAAGCGTTGAAACAAAAAATAATGATATCTAAAATATATAATCACATGAATCAATCTGTAATTTTAATTATGATAAATAGTGTAATATTTGGATTGAATTCATCCAATAATGGAAAATAATTTTCAGAAACGAAGCATTTTGATTGATAATGACACATTTTTGCTACAGAATACGTCACCTTCATTCCATTCACCCATTCAAAACCAAAAAATTACGTAATTTTCGTCACTAATCCATCCTTCCGCATTTTTTCGCTGTTCGGAAAACTTCTCACAAATTTATTTTTGTCTCATCTTTGCAGAGCATTTCGTCGTTATTCACTTATTAATATTTTCACAATATATCATGCTCAATGCATATGTGATATATAAAAATGAAATGATGCGATGCGAGCAAGATGAGAATTGAGAATGCATTTGATTTTGAAGTATTCGATAATGCATTTATGAGAAAATGTTTTTATGCGCATTTTTGTGTTTTGTCGTAAAAATTTCTTCTTCAAACACGTTTAATAATCATCCATTCACTATTTTTATTCGTTTATATGTGAATTCAGTTCAGAGATCTTTTTTTTGTTCAAAGGATTTATTATGGGCATCGTTCGAATTACAAATTTTCGCATTCCTTTCGAATTTTTTGGTTCCTGCGGATGAATAATCATAAACTGAAGCAGTCATCCGGTGCAGATTATCTTTTACCAGTTCAGAGTTTGTTATTACTGTGCATTGTCGCCATCCTTCATTATAACAAGTACTACTGTCAGTGTTTATTGTAATCAGTGCATATTGTTACAAGAACAACTGATCAAAAGTTGTGTAGTTACAAATATAAACCAGGATAAGAAGGCATTTGCAGAGTGATTTTGCAAGCAGATACGAAAACGAGTAAATTCGAGCATATCACTGAGAAGTTATGCACAATCGCCGTTTATTCAACCCCTTTTTGAGCCGAGTAACCCTTAAGCTACTTTCAAGAACTGAAGCTTGCAATCAGGATTACATCATGCACCATCGAGGTCATTAGATCTTGAAGAATTCCTTTTTTCATCACCACATTTGTTTTCGTTGATGAGATTGAACGTATCATTTCATGAATTGTGTGAACTACCATACCAGTTCAGTCTCATCCACAGAAAACGTACCAGTGTGCATGTGTTGGAAATTCAACATTTCAGACTGGCTTGAGCACAGTCTTAGGCCAATAGCCTAGCTTAGAACACCGCTTGGCTTTAGCTTTACTCTATGATATCCGATGTTGTCCCAGTTCGAATGTCTTCTTCGAGGGAAGGGGGGGAGGGGTAAGGGAAGGGTGTTTGTCTCTTTCTGCAGCCACGGAAAATTCTTTTGCCTCATTCCCGACATTTTCAGAATTACGAAACTGAAGCTGAGTTAATTCATTCAAATTAGGCTAGCATTTTATGCAAACGAGCGATTTTACCCAATATCCTCCCTACATTAGTTGCGCGGGTGCATCGGTGGCGCGTGCGTCTTCATTATTCTTCACCACATACAGTTGGCAGCGTGTTTGTGCAACGTAATTGATTCTTTCTTGGACAGTGTGCGAAACGTGGAGTGTGTTGACGAGGAGATCAATGAGAAATATTTCGGAGAAAAGAAATAAACGATGCGGAATATGTTCATTGCTGATGTGAGGAAAAGATTGAATGAATTGAAGAAGTGATAAAAAAGTAAAATCGTATTTCTGCAGATATACAAAATAAACTTCGACAACAAACATATTTCATTTGAACGATCACCACTCATCTCAAAATTTTTGCAAATTTCTATTCCCAAGAGCACTTTAATAATCCACTTCTCTTGTTTGCATCTGCACAATAATGCGATTTAAGAGCGCATCATGACTCTGTTTCATTTCGGTCGTTCACTTAACCTGAATCATCTTAAATCACCAGCACGGATGGATGCCCAACTACTTGGTTTATGAATCGCTTATTGTTATCATCTGTTGCAAGAAGCACTGATCGCCAAACCTTCGACCGCCCACCATCGCCACGCTCCATTGCAATATCGAGGATTGCAGCAAGCGTCGTCTTTTCTGCGAAGTAACGCGCGTCGCGCACATTGCTCAGTACGTCATCGTTGTGGGTCGTCGATTTATCGGCGACATTCCTTGAGTACTCAATTAGCAGATTCTCTTTGTTCAATAGTGTTATGGTCATTGTTTCCGTGATTGTCATTGCTTTCAACTTATTGTTTTTACTCATTCATTGCGATGACGAGGTCATAAGTTTGTCCGGTTAATTTTGCTGACCCTGAAGTTGAGAATGACGTTCGATATTCGTTCGTTTCGTTTCATTTTATAACTGTCACCGCTAAAATAGTTCTTTTGTCAGGGTTATAACACTTTTGCCTCATTTTTATCCCTTTCGGTTGCAGCCGAGGGTTATTACCATTTATAATTTCTTTACTCGTGATACTTTCACGGTGCAGCATCAGACTGAGACGTGTGGCCATCATCAGTTGAATTGAGAGTAGGAAAAATCTCATTCGAGTCATAAGCGGGGTGAGAGAAGGTGAGAGGGCTAGGTTGCCGTCTAATAATTTCATTGTGAGCGGTGATTGGATAAAGTGAAGAGAATACATTCGACGAATACCGAGCAGCACGGAGTTTAGCTTCATTCCAAAGAACGAATTCAAATTACGAAGTGATAAATCAATGCGTTAATTAATGATCTTTATTGCAGTATCTCATCACCACCACTACCACCACCCTTCACTGCATATTTCTGCAAAACTTCACTGCGTATTCCGTTCGTCTTCACCTTCTAAATCGTCTCTTTCACGAATTCCTTCAGCCACACCACCAACAAAAAACCCACAAAAGTACGTAATGTTGGCTCCAATCATAACGAAAGATATGAAACTATTCCCAAGCCGACCACTACCACCGAAGATAAAAAACGTCCGGTCGCGAGCACAAAGTCTCGATGATCTGAAGAATCGTTGTTCATCATCACGTTACAACAACGTTATCAACTGTGCGAATCGTCATCGAAGCTCTCACTCAGTCGGTCATCTACCGACGAGTACGTTATCAGTTACCTCGTTGCGTTCCTCACCGAAAACGTCGATGTTGATGTGTAAACCAACTACACTCGATGCGATCATGGAAGGTGTTGAGATGAACAACTCGTCCCATCCAACTAATGCTGCTACTCATCATAAACATACCAATAAGCATCATATCAAAAACGCTACTAATACTCCGACACCAAAGAAAGCTTCAGTTGGTTGTTCAATAATACCGAAACGAAGTGTTACAAAACGATCAGCGAATGGTATTGGTGAAAGCAATAATGACGATTTGGATTTTGATTACGCGCCGTCATCTGCGCGTCATCTGTCATTAGCAGCAGCTAATTCTTCGTCATCATCCAGTACGACAGCAGCATCTGGTTTAGGATGTAGCATAAGTTATGATCAGTTTAGATCGTCGCCTGATCTGGAAGTTCTGCTCGAATCGGATTCTTTTTCGTCAACAACGAAAACCGCATCTGCACCATCATTGGAAAAATCAGCTGACAACATCTCTGCATCAAGAAGAAAATCATCGAGAAAAATTGTCAAATGGCTTACGGGTGCGCTCAAATCTAAATCTAATTCTATAAATAAACAGATTGTCAATCCAAATCGTGATAATAGTTCAGTTGATAGCAGTAAGGATAGTGGTAATAATACTAACAATAGTGGTAAGGTGAGACGTGTCAGTGCAAGTCATTATACAACTTGATCATTTCATGTTAATCTTTTATCAGCCACTTGATTGTCGTACCTGATGCCTTTTACCTTTGTTATTATTAATACTCTCGAGATTATTGTTCCAACTTGTAGTGTGCCCTATATATGGCTAACCATCTATACATAAAAACGATTCTATTATTTAGAAAAAATATGCTATATATACGTTTTTTAACATCGCTCATTTGCATTTCTTTATTATGATAATATACGCGACATATTGGTTATGCATACTTATATATATA